GAACTTGTAATAAAAGTTTAGGAAGTACTGAAAAGAGATAGAGATTGAGTACGTTGTATTAAAGTAAGTTTGTGACCTCATCACGTCATTACAGTCCATCTCATCATTTACGGTCATTCTCTATTTGTCGATCGTGCATCTTGACAATAGCTCTGCAGCGTACCTTCTATTACAAAAATCTATGTGATAAGGTTGTCATGTCAAAATCACACCCCTCCTCTCTATTTGCTTTTTGTAAGTCATCCAGTGTGCAAGAATGTCGATTTCCGAGCTTACGTATCAAAAGTACCATCATACATAATTCCATTAGCGCTGCGTCCAGCGACATGACTTTCATGTCTTCATATGGATTATCATGAATACCCTTTCCATTTTCCAGCTGCTTTAGGTATGTGACGAATGAATAGGAAGTATAACTGGAAGCCTTATTTATATGCTCCATTGGCTTTGTTTTCAGAAGAGTATCCTTTTTTGGTTATGTTACGTACTATTGCCTGGAGCATGTGGACACTGTTCCCAAAAGCGTTTGTGTCGGTGGACTCTTACCTGCTATAAGGAGCCGTATTTTGCTTACCACAACTGGTTATGGCTTGTTACGGGTCTCTTTCTGAATGGTCATGGTTTTCCAAGTTAATCCATATTTTCTTTTTTTCCCTACTACCATTGAGTTCAAGGGATATCCACGTATAGGAAATCCTAAATCTCCGATCCGAACATGTCTTGCGTTAGAAAGAGCTGTTCATATATTTTCACACAGGCGACCTTCTTTAGGTGGCATCATACTACCACGAAACGCCAAACAATGAAAATGTAATTTTGATACAAGATCTTTCAGCGCGACTTCACTCTAACTGTGTTTGTCAAGTGACTTGCTAATATAAACATTCAAAATCGTTTGAATATAACCTTAAAGCACTCAACCATCTATATTGAAAGAGTTATAAAATAAACATTCAAAATCGTTTTAATATAACCTTAAAGTACTCAACCATCTATATTGAAAGAGTTATAAAATCTTAGATGACAAATCTGTATTTAAATTTGAAAAGTTAGGTAGACGTGTCTTTGAAAGTTAGGAATATTGGAAGATAAGATGTCTATTAAGAAACTGAAGTCCTGTACTGTGTGGTTAGGTTGGTCTTTAGTAAAAAATATAGGAAAATCTGTATGATAAAAATAATCCATTGAGATATTAAAAAAAGATCTGCACAGAGAGGTTTTGAAAATATGAAATAATAGGAACACGTCTATTGAAAAATAAGCAAATGTGTATAGAAAAGTTGAAAAAAAAGCTTCTAGTGAAGACTTGCATTAAAGTGTTAGTAAGACTTATATCGAAAGGTTAAGAAGTTTGTACTGAAATGTTAGGAAGACTTGTACTGAAGTGTTTGGAAGCTTGTATTGAAATGCTAGGAAGACTTGCATTGAAAGGTTAAGAAATTTGTACTGAAGTGTTTGGAAGTTTATATTGAAATGTTAGGAAGACTTGTATAGAAAAGTTAGGAAGTGTGTACTGAAATGTTAGGAAGACTTGTATTGAAAGGTTGGGAAGTTTGTATTGAAGTGTTAGTAAGACTTATACCGAAAGGTTAAAAGTTTGTACTGAAGTGTTTGGAAGTTTGTATTGAAATGTTAGAAGACTTGTATAGAAATGTTATGAAAACTTATATTAAAATATTACGAAACTATTATTGAGAGATTAAGAAAATAAGAACACATTTATTGAAAGTGAGAAATTATGAACTTTCTATTAAAAGAATGTGATACGTTTAATAATTTTTCATGGTAAAGAAATTCAAGATTTTTAAGGAATACAAACATTTGGAAATATAAATATTTTCAGACATCTGTAGTCCCCCGGTGGGACAGAGATAGGTCTTTGGATTTACAACGCTAAAATCAGGGGTTCGATTCCTCTCGGTGGACACAGCAGATAGCCCGATGTGGCTTTCCTATAAGAAAAAACACACACACATTCAGACATCTGTAAGTAAATCCGAAAAGTCAAGCTTTCTCTCCCTCTCTAAGTATCCGTGCATCTAGAAGGATAACATCTCTCAGTGAAAATACCTCACAGCATCTAGAAGGATAATATCTCTCAGTGAAAATACCTCACAGCATCTAGAAGGATAATATCTCTCAGTGAAAATACCTCAGAGCATCTAGAAGGATAATGTCTCTCAGTGAAAATACCTCAGAGCATCTAGAAAGATAATATCTCTCAGTGAAAATACCCCAGAGTAGCTTTTTGTTTTACAGACATAAGCTGTTTGAGAAGGTTTTTTCTTTCAAGATCAAATTTCCAGATCTTTGGTGAGTGGAGAAACTAATTATTATCCAGTGTCTGTGAAGTTTCAATAGATAAAAAACTTTAAACAAACTCATCCAGATATATATATATATAAGTAATTCCCAGTAGTACGAATGATTTTGGACATCTTTTTTTCAGAGAAAACATAAAATTTCAAGCTTTTCCTATCTTAAAGAAGCTAGTTATCCTTGACATCTCTGTTTGGCATAGGGATTTGCTTTGAAATGTCTGTGTTTGTAAATATAATTATTTTGAAAAATTTCTTTCTTGGGAAACAGAATTTTGAAATATTCAAAACAAAACAAACCTTGTCAGTGTGGACCCAACGAGCCGACTAAGTTTTCACAACCGCATGTTTAACTTACAAATTTACCTCCCAATGTCAAGTAAGCAAAAACAGAAAGTTAGTTCATGGCAAATACCCACAGAGGGGAAACTATAAGTTTCTCTACGGACACGTCATAAGTCCTAACACACTTAGTCATGATTTGTTGGGACGTGAAAGAATGTACAAATATTAACCTCAACTAGAAGAAAATGCCAGTTATTCAATTGTCCCTTCTTCAGTATATGGTTCCACGTGTGACTTGCAAACTGATATAATTTCAAAATCAGACATACATCTGATAGCTCAGTTTAAAATAAAGCAAAGTTTTTTATACCCGTGCTAGGCAAAGCAC